ACCTCCAAGCATCCTTCCTGGGGAGTAACGGTGCTCAGTCTTAAGCTCCCCCATCTCCCACACTGTCTAGTGCCCAATTTTTTTTTCACCTTTTTTTTTTTTTAATTTTTGGGTCACATACAGCGATGCACAGGGTTTACTCCTGGCTCTGCACTCAGGAATTACTCCTGGCAGTTCTTGGGAGACCATATGGGACGCTAGGACTCGAACCCAGGTCAAGGAAAATGCCCTACCCTCTGTACTATCGCTCCAGCCCCAAGTGCCCACTCTCTTAAGGTTCCTCCTGGGTAAAAACGGCCTCGGGACTGTCCACACCCCACCCCCTGCCGCCAGGCTGTCAGATCACAGGGGTACAGTGAGAAATGGCCCTGGCCAGCCACTTGGGGGGGACACGTGTCAAACACTGCAGGGGGACGGGCACAGTTAAAATGTGGCTCCTCTTCCCTCTCCATTGGACAACCTGTTTTGCTACTCAAATGTGAGGTGCCTCTTCCCCCACGTCCCCCCAGAAAGGTCTGTTCTGAGCCACCCTCTTTGCCTCCTTGACTCTTTCTCCGAGGAACATTATCTCCCAGCAAGGTCATCTGCTCCTCCCCCCCCCCCCCCCCAATAAGGCGGTGATCGTACAGGGCAGCCTCTCACTAATCCATCTGGTAAGATGGGAGGGCAGGGCGAGACAGGAGAAAGAGGGAGAAGAAAGGAGAGATGGGTGGTGGGGTGGCCCAATGGTGAGGCATGGGGGCGGGGGGGGGCATGTGCTGGGGGCGGCTGAGAATGGGATGAGTGGAAGCCCTTCTCTGACCGGGGAGGCAGTGTAGTGAGGTCGCAGGGACACAGAGGTCGTACAATTCAGATTAAGGCTTGCTTTGCACCCGGCTGATATAGGTTCAATCCCCGGCAGCACCCCCTAGGGTTCCTCCCCACCAGAGTGATCCCTGAGCTCAGAGCCAGGAGTTATTTCTGGACACCACGAGCTATCGCCCCCCAAAACAAAAATTTTTTTTAAAAAAACCCTTTCTCTTCACAAGTGGGTGGACGTGGCTCAAGCAAGTGCCCAGTCAATTGTTCTTAGAAAGCCGACAGATGGTATGTTTGCTAGCACGCTGACATATTTCATCGTTCGAACACCGACGGGGAGGAGGGCCCAGCGTGCTTGCGGCCGGTGTTGATTCAGTGAGGGGTTGGTATTTCAGGAAGCCGAGGGACGCAGACTTAGTTTCTGTAAACTACAGTAGCCAGGGCCCAGAGCCTCGTACAGCGAGCGGGGACGGCATTTCCCTTGCACGCAGCCGAGCCGGGCTTGATCTCCAGCATCCCATAGGGTCCCCTGGGCCCCACCAGGAGTGATCCCTGCGTGCAGAGTCATGAGTAAGCCCTGAGCATCGCCCGCTGGGGCCCCAAACCTCAAAACAAAAATAATAATTGGAAAAAATGAAAAAGACTGCAGCAATCAACAGTCTATTAATAAGGTAACTGTGAGGCAGTTTACCTCAAAACCATCTTTGAAAAAAACAACTTGGGGGGGGAGGTACAGAATGAATATGCAGAAAGTGCTTAAGTTCTTTTATTTTGCTTTTTGGGTAACACCCGGCGATGCCCAGGGGTTACTCCTGGCTCATGCACTCAGGAATTGCTCCTGGCGGTGCTCGGGGGGGGGGGGGGGACCATATGGGATGCTGGGAATCGAACCTGTGTCGGCCATGTTGGCTGCGTGCAAGGCAAACGCCCTACCCGCTGTGCTATCGCTCCAGCCCGAAAGTGCTTAAGTTCTAAATGTCAAGCCAGATTTTAAAAAACGGGAAGCAAGGGTCTAATGTAGGGTGAGTCCTCGCAGCTGGTCAGTACAAGACAGACAGTCTGATCGTGTTATGCCCGCACTGGGCATGAGGAGCCCGTTTGGGCAGGGCTGAGTTTGAACGAGTTGGCAGGAAGGTGCAGAAACCATGGCGATGTGGCTGGGGTGGAAGTGGCGAGCAGGCTTGGAGCGGGAGCTCTGGACAGACTGTCCCTGGTCAGATCCCGGGGAAGCCAAACATCCGAGCCGGGCATGGTTTGACACCAGCACAAACTGTCTCTCGGAAGTTGGTTGTTGCCAGGCCCCCCAAGTCCCCGGGCGAACGTGGAGATGAATGAATCTCGTGGAGACAGCTTGGATGTAGGGCTCAGAGCCTTTCATGCAGCTGACTCAGGTTTGATCCGTGGGTCCCCCTCCCCCAAGTCCTTCCTGAGTGCAGAGCCAGGACTAAGCCTTGAGCACCACCAGGTGTGATTCCCTTCCCCCCCCAAAAAATCAAACAATTCAGTTTTGAAAATGCATTTCAGTGAGTCAGAAAGAGGGGGAGAGACATAGAAAGATTGCATTCATCTGGGGAATATAAAGTAACAAAATGGGAGACTAACACCCAAGAAGAGCCGAGATAAGTACCAGGAAGTTCACTCCATGGCTTGGAGGCCAGCCGCACATGCTAGGGGAAAAGGCAGCTCAGATAGAGAAGGGAGCACCAAATCAAGGGTGTTGGGAGAATCCTCCCAGGATGAAAGATGCATGCTGAAAGTAGACTATAGACCGAACATGATTGCCACTCAGTGCCTCTTTTGCAAACCACAGCACCCAAAAGGAGAGAGAGAACAAAAAGGGAATGCCCTGCCACAGGGATGGGGGGGTTGGGGGGGAAGTAGGGGGGTGGGAGGGATGCTGGGAGCATTGGAGGTGGGGAATGGGCACTGGTGGAGGGATGGGTACTCAATCATTGTATAACTGAAACCCAAGCACAAAAATTTGTAAGTCTACAACTATACCTCGTGGTGTTTCACTAATAAAAATAAAATAATAAAAAAAATTAAAAAATTAAAAAAAGAAAATGCATTTCAGGGACCCAAGAAACAGCGCAGGGCTTGGGTGCTTGCACGCAGCCAATGCTGCACGCTACTGGCCCCGGTTTGCATCCCGGCAATCCTTATGGTCCCTCGAGCCCTTCCGGAAGTGATCCGAGTCAAGAGTGAGTCCTGAGCACCACATGGGGTGCGGCCCCGGAAATCCACCGAAAATGCACTTCAGCCCTAGGTGGTGCCTTCCACGACGGGGCGTCCACTCCGTCCTCGCCCTCTGTGGAGACCATCTGCTCCACTGAAAGAAACTCTGGGGCCTGGGCTCATCCCCCTCCGCCCAGGGGGCTGGACAGTGGCCACTAGCTGGTGCGTGCCGCCAGCTCTCTCTGCTCTGCAGCTTCGGGAGCTCGTCTCTAACTGTGTGGCCATAAGGAAGACAGGAAACGGCCGAGCTTAGTGGCCGCCACCATGCTGCAGAACCGAGCGTCTGCTGGCCGCTACCTCAGCCACGCTCACTCACGCTGGCCTTCCGGGGGGGAGGCGCCGAGATTCAGACTCTGCACAGCTGTCTTAGACCCACTCCGAGGACCTGGTTTTCCTCTGCCCCGATGGCTCGAAGCCACTCACGTCCACTCACTGCTGCACTCAGATCACACCGAGATGCTTTTCTGGCTCCCACCGGGTCCACAACCCTGGCTTGTCCAGCGCAGTGGACTCCAGGGCCTGTGGGGATTGCTACAGAGAATCCCGCTTTGCCTCCCCTCTGCTCTTCTCCTAGAGAAGTAGGCCCCGCTGGCCAGGCGGCGGTAGGACGTTAAGATTTTTTTTTCTTTTCTTTTAACCACCTTCAGCAGCAGCAGCGAGGAGCTTTAAAGTTTTATTAGCGTCATAAAATGCCTTCCCCCCCCAAATGAAACCACTTTTGATACGCATGCAGCATGCATTGCGTTCATTCTGACAATGAGAATTGGTCGAGGGTTGTTGGTTAGGTGGAGGAATTTGTTTTTGAAACTGAAATTGGCAGGAAGTAATGACCCCAAATTCTTTCTCTCGCCACCAACCCCCTCCTGTCCTGCTCTCACTCCTCCTCTTCCTCCCCCCCTTCCCATCTTCCTCACCCCCAGAGCACAGGCTGGGAACAATGGCTCTGGATTCCTGTTTTTCAGGAGACCATTCAAATCCTTTAGGCAGCCTTTCAGAATGTCCAGCGCGCTCTCTCTCTCTCTCTTTCTCTCTCCCTCTCTTTCTCTCTCCCTCTCCCTCTCCCTTCATTCCACCCACCCTCCTTCCTTCCCTCCTTCCCTTCCTCATTCCTTCCTCCCTTTTCCTTTCACTAATTCCTTCCCCCCTTCATCCCTTCCTCCCTCCCTCCCTCCCTCGTGCAGGGGAGCATATCCTGTGATTCTCAAGGCTTACTCCTGACTCTGCACTCAGGGATCACTTCCGGTGGTTTTGGGGGGACAATATGGGATGCCAGGAATGGAACTCAGTTCGGCCACATGCAGGCACTCGCTATCTCTCCAGCCCCCCTTCCAGCTTTTCCTAACAGAAACAGCAGGCTACTCAAAGAGGGGTGCACATTTGGTGGCAGCGTCGCTGGGGAAGGCTCTGCAGAGGGCAGGGGTACTTGCCGTGCAGCCAGCTAGCCCGGGTTCACATCCGAGCCCTGCATCTGCCGGGTGGTCCCCGACCACCTCCAGGGGTCACCTTGAGCCCCTACCCCCACCCCTTTTTGTTTTGTTTTTTTGGGGTGGGGGCGGGCCACACACCTGGCTGCAGTTCGGGCTTACTCCTGCCTCTGTGTTCCCAGGATCAGCCCAGGCTGGGGCCCCGGGGATCATATGGGATGTGGGGGATGGAGCCCAGGTTGGCCACATGCTCGGCCAGTGCCCTCCCCGCCACTGTGCTGAGGCTCCACAGAAGTCCAGTCACTCTGCCTCCTGTGTCTGCTCCAGCTGGAAAGCAAGGTTGGTGCGCCAGCCGGATCTGCCTGCCCTGTGCAGAGGTGCGGCCGCCTGGGCCTCCCCACGGCTCTGTCGGCTGAGCCTGTCTGGCACCGTTGAGACCGCGCAGTACAGGAACAACACCTGGCACCCCCCTTTTGTAGTTCCCTGGCCCATGGAGCCATGTGAGAAGCAAAGGTAGGTGACACCTTGCGTTGATACCTGCAGGAAGAAGCCCGCTCCAGGATCGTGAAGACCCTCGAAGGGTTTGACTTGGGCCCGACAGAGAAGTGCGTGAGAATCAACTCGGTGTCCAGCGGCCTGGCCGAGGCTGACCTGGAGAGCTTGCTACAGTCCCGGGTCCTTCCTGCCAGCCTGATGTTGCCCAAGGTGGAGGGGCCGGAAGAAATCCAGTGGGTGAGTGGCCCTGGGTCGGGGGAGGGGGTGGTTTGCGGGCTGTGGTGCGTTTAGAGGGGCGGACCCCACGCAGAAAGAAAGGAAACTGAGACCCCACACAGCCCTCCCCTCCCCCTCTGCCCCTGGCCGGGACACCGCTCCTTAGGGAATTACACTTCAGCAGGTCCAGTAGGGGCGCTTGGCCGCCTTCCCCCTCAACCTCCTTCGTGGGCCCCCCAGCAGTGCCTGGAAATGGGCAGACGCACATAGGCCGCAGAGACAGAATGAAGCTGGAGGAGCTGCGAGGTCGCTCGTTAGGGGGACCAGAGGCACAAACAGGAAGCTTTTAACTAGTGCTTCTAATGAGCGCAGACGCGATTTCCTGCGCAGGCCCTCCTTGGGCCTTGGTAAATTGCTGGCAGGTGTGTGGTGTTTCGAGACCCCAAGGTTGGGCCAATAAACCCCCGAAATGGGAAAGGGTCGGCATGTCAAATTACTTGGGAAAACTTTGAAATGGGTCTAATTAGGCTATAATGATTTTCACTGTGCAGGGGGGACCGGGCAGGTGGGGGCACTCAGTTTACTTCCGGGGGTCGCAGGAACCCCCCAGATCTCTGCGGAATGACAGGGTGCCCCCGGAGACCCCTTTAGGAACAGAGGTCGTGGCGTGTGTGTGTCCTAGGGCACCATCTGGGGCCATCCTGATGCTCAGGGGTGCTGGTGTCATGACTGATGTAGTGATATTTGAAGTGACCTGCCCCCCATGATTTGGCATGAAGGGTACTTGGGGCTATCCCAACAGTGCTCACGGCTGACTCCTTGCTCTGTGCTCAGGGATAACTAGCGGCTCAGTGCTCAGGGTTCACTCCTGACAGGGCTCGGGGATCCCGGGGATTAGATGAGGGAAAGCACCCTACCCACTATCCTCTCTGCCCCCCCCCCATTGTGGGTGGTTACCTGGGCTTCCTAGCACGGTGGCCCTGCCACAGGTGGCCCCGAGCACCCACCCACGGGTCCCATTCCAGTGAGGCCAGCCCCTGGAGGCCATCTCCCCACCCACCAAAACAGAATGTGAAATCATCTCATCCGTTTGGAGAGTCGAAATGATATTTCTGTGCTCTGGAACTGAATCAGATACATGATGTAAGTGAAATCCACCAGTTCCCGGCAATAATAATAATTTTTTTTCCCTTTTTGGGTCACATCCGGCGATGCACAGGGGTTCCTCCTGGCTCTGCATTCAGGAATTTCTCCTGGCGGTGCTCAGGGGACCATAAGGGATGCTGGGAATCAAACCCAGGTCGGCCGCATGCACGGCATGCGCCCTACCCACTGTGCTATCGCTCCAACCCAATAATAATAATAATAATAATTATTATTTTTATATTATTTTACATTATTTTACATCTTATTATCTCATTTTTGCTTTGGACAACCTGGCAGGCTACCGAATGTAACCTGCCCACATAGCAGAGTCTGGCAAACTCCCCGTGGCGTACCCAACGTGCCAAATACCAGTAACAATGATGGGTCTCATTCTCCTAACCCTGAAAGAGCCTTGAATTTGGCACTTTTTAAAATCTCAGGGCGAGGATGAAGGAGACATTACTGGGGCCCGCTCGAGGCCATCGACGCACAACAGGATGATCGTGATCGTGATTTTTATATATAGTGAAAATAATTTCCCTTCTGTGGCCCTTCCTAACCTTGTTTCTTCCCATTGACCCTCCCCCACTGCATCCTATGACCCCCCCAGTCCTCCACCCGGCCCCCCCCCTTAGGTGTTTTCACCCGTGGCTCCCCCATGCTATCCTAGAGCCCTGTGGGGGACCCCGGCTGAGGCCGTGTGGCACCCCACCTTCCCCGAGCCGCCCCCCACAACCCTCCCGGGAAGACCCGGGTTCCTTGAACACCCGAAACTGGAGTTCTCCCCCCCCCCCCGCACCCACCCTGGGAGGGGGCTCTGGAATTGGTTTCTCTCTTGGGGGGCCCCCCAGCCTACCCCCCCACACCCACACACACCACAGCAGAGACAGAGCCTCCTGGGGCCGCGCCCTCTGTGTTCTTATTCCCACCGAGGGGTCCCCATTAGCACCCTGGCCCCTGCTTGAATCTGGCAGGGGAGGACCCCGCACCCCCCGGCTGTGGGGTTGCCGCCCCCCCCCTTCCCGAGCCCCGAGCTGAGCTGGGCCTGCTTGTTTTCTTTTGTGAAGGGCTCTGGGCCGGCCTTTTGTCGCGAGTGTGGGTTCGTGTTTCACTGGCAAGGGTTATCGGACTATAACAAGTGTGACTCGCTCCCTTTGTGGCGGGACAATTGTCCCACAAATCCCGGAACAGTATGCATTCTTCCAGCCCACTATTGGGTGCTCACGGGGCTGAAAGAATCGCCGGAGCCCAGGACTTCATCTCCTCCCCGCTCTCTTTGTGATTCACCCCACCCCACCCCACCCCTTCCCTTCCTCTGCCCCCCACCCCCCACTCCCCTCTGCCCCCCCCTGAAATGAACACTTTACCAGGCCGGAAACATTTAATCGTCTCCTTTTGAGAAAAATTAATTGAAACTTCTCCACTCGTTACCTTTTGTGTTGGTACTTAATGCAATTTTTTGGAGAAAGCCGGGGAGGAGGAGGAGGGTGGAAGAAGGGTCCGAATATTTCATCTGGAAAAGCCCCCATTGGCTTCAAAACAAAAGGCATAGGAGATTGATTTTTTTTTTCCCCCTCAAAGAATAGAAACTGGGTTATCGGATGAGTACCTGGGGTTAAACTTTATTTGGCATTTGGAGAATCGTCAGAACATAATCAGTGTTGGCTTGGATTGTTGTTGTTGTTTTTTGTTTTTTTATGAGGAACAAAAAATTATCCCTGCAACCCTCGAAACTGTTCCACGACCGGTTTTTCTAGCATAAATTTGACCTCAGTGATGTTTTATTTTCGTCTACCTGGGATGGCCGGGGGGAGCACATCTCTGAGTTACTCCTTCCCTTGCTCAGAGGTGGGGGGGGTGGTAGGGTGCAGGAGGGGTTGAGCCACTGGGAATAATTCTTCATTACTGAAAGCTGTGATTTATTTTAGCCTAATTGTAAAGTTACTGCAAATTGCTCAAAAGCTTTTTAAAGATCCCAGTGATTAGGTTTTTTTTAGGGGGGGGCGGGATGGACCTCAAGGGCAAGAGGGTCTGCTAAAAAGGGAAATAACACGTCTAATCCTGCTTGTGCTAAATAGACCGCAGGCTTTTAAAATGAGTTTCCTTTCTATTAGTCCGAATATTATGCTAAGCCTTAAGCATTAGTTTTTTTATGTTGCTATGGCAGCCCTGTTCCTGCGGGGTGGTGACCTAGGATGATTACAGTACAAAGCTTATAGGGTCTTGAAACCCCCTTTGAAGATGAAAAGTCTTTGATGGTTTATATTTATGCAAATCTCTTAGATATGATTTACCCAACTGAGACTGAATGGAGAGATGATTAAAATTCCCTTTTCCTTTGATATCCATTAATGGCTGAATATTCCTTAAATTTAAAATGGATAGATATGTTTTCATCTTTATTTACCAAAAAAATATCTTTATCATACCTGAGCGGGTTGTGGTGGTTTGGGGTTTTTTTTTTCTTCTTTTTTTTTTTATTATCTCCCCATATCTTATTAGATCTAGATAGACATAATGGATTTACAATTTAGAGTGTGTTTTTTTTCTCCCCCTTTTGAAAATAAAAAAAGGGGGGGGAGGGAATCTGCACGAGCTTTTGTATGTTTCCAGATGATGGATTTTGGCATTTGGGCTACCCCACTGGCAGCTCGCTGTGAACTGGTCTCATGGAAAAAATTGGCAAGCCTTGGTCTTCAAAGAATTAGACTTCCTTTTTTAAGGTCTTTCTAGGTAAGCTAAAAAAATTACGGAGAAAAACCGCGGGAACAAAGGGTAATGGGACTCTCATGAATTATGTGGGGGTCCCTGCGCCATCCAGCTGACGTCAGTGTGGGACCCTGGAGGAACAGAGTGTGACAGGTAGAGCATGGCGGTTTTGTTTTGGGGACCCCCACGCCCCACCCTGGAGCCCGCACGCACGCACAGAGGAGAGAGCCGAGGTGTTTGTGCAGATACCCACGGGAGAGTTTTAAACCAGGCAGTGCTGGTCAGGTTCCTGGGCCTCTTATAAAGGGGACAGTAATGACACTTGGGGTTTCAGCCTTTAGTTTGTGAGAAGTTCCTTACCTTTTCCTTCCCTACTCTAAAAATTATTATTATTATTTATTCTTTTTTTTTTTTTGTCAAACTTAAGGTCCAGGACTGAAATTCTTGGTCTGTTCTGTCCCAGGCAGGAACATTTCCCCCCACTCACTTCTGACTATTTTGATTTTCAGTTTTCAGACAAATTTTCATTCTACTTAAAAGGCCGAAAACTTGAACAGCCAATGAATTTAATCCCTTTTGTGGAAACTGCCATGGGTTTGCTCAATTTTAAGGTAAGGAAGCCAGGAAATGGCTAATAAGTTCAGTCATTTTATTTATTACTTCAGGAGTCCCGTTTTGCTTTCAGTTTTAACATTGCCTTGAAAGATTTCTCTAGAAACATTTACAAGCTAACTGAATCCCGAGGGACCCTTTGGTAGCTGGGAGAGTCCCCCAAACCAGGTTGCAAACATCTTGGAAAAACAAAGAAATAAGCGAAGTAGCAAGGGAAAACTTCCCAGCTCTGAATGTGTCCCCGAGATGTGTCTCTCTCATCAGAGCCTGCTTTTCATTGAATAATCACTGTAAATAGACGCTTTGGCGTATTTCCTTTATAGATTAAATTGTACGTGAAATTTTGTCACCCTTACTGAATTAACTTTGATTTATTCTTTTGTCACCGTTTGCCTTTTTCATGGGGTGGGGGGGGTCGGGGGGCCGGGAGGGGGAGAGAGAGGCGGCTCTATCCCCTTTGCAGCAAGCATCTCGCTCCTGTGGAGGAAAAAAAAAAGATCACTGTTTGTAAATTAGCCCACACAAATCATATGTAGCCTATTATTTCCAATTGCCCATATTCGGACCTAAAATCTGTTCTAACGGGGCATTCAAGGGAGCTGTGCCGAGCCAGGCTTTGCACCCTCGGATGGTCGCATTCGTAGCCACCTTCCTCCCCTCCGTCAACCCCTTTATGAAGTGATCGTCTAAATTGCTCTCCAAAAGGGGCTCCGTGCGGTCCACCTGCCCTGGGAACATCCTCGCAGCCTCTCCAGCCTCCATCGCGGGGTCAGGAGGGAAGCAAATCCCAGGAAACAAAGGGAGAGAGAAAGTTGAGCTGTTTCTGGGAGATGGTGCAGAGGAGCCGGGCAGAAAGCTTGGAGCCTGCTGCGGCGGTGGGCTGGGGGGTGTGGGGCGGGAGAGCAGCCGGGGCACCCACAAATCCAACCAGCCCACTCCAGAGTTCTCAGAAGAGATCCCGAGCAACAGCAGCCCTTGGCTGCTGCCTGGCTCAGACACCACCACTTCCACTCCCAACGCTGCCTCACCTCACCATTTTATTGTGCAAATCTACCATTTTACAAAGCACGTATGAACCCCCACCCCACCCCACCCCAAATTAACCAACGGGTGCCTGGCCTGGTTACCACCCACGCAGCCCGTCTCTCGTCCCCTCTGTGATTTGCACGCTCTCCTCTCCTGAGCCACACAGAAGAAGCGTCTTGAATGCATCTTGAAGGACTTGTTGCTTTCTTTTTTTTCTTTCTTTTTTTTTTTTTTATTTTCCCCTCCGGAGTGGTAGATTTTTTTGCATTGTGTTGCTTTAATCCTCAGACCGGTTGACTAAGGGACCTTGATCCTGATGTCAATAAATAATCCAATTAGTTTGATTTTTTTTTTAAATTCCTTCTCTCCTGTGGCCTTAGGTTTCAGGGCTGAGAAGCGGCTGAAAAGCAACGACGCATTTTGGAAGACTTGAAATTTATAGTACAATCAAAAAAAAAAAAAAACCAAGGAGCAAACCCCTAAGTTTCTCTAGAACTCGGGTCGGCTGTTCACATCGTTGAATGATGCGGCTCCGTAGAGCAGAGGAGGGGGTGGCAGGGGGAGGCGAGCGGGGCGGAGTGGGGGGCACACTTTTAGGACCACTTTGAGCTGAGCTGGGCTCAGAGTTGGGGCTTTCTGAGGCTGAGCGCCGCGCTCCTCTGCGGGTTCCCGGCCGGCCGTGAGACTCTCTCCTCTGCCCCCGCAGGCCGTGTGTGAGCAGGCAATGAAGACAGGCCCGCCGTGCGGCCTCTTGCTGGACGCTGTCGTCTTCGGGGGAGAAGACTTCAGAGCCAGCATAGGTGCTGAGACCTGTGCTCCCTCTCTCCGGTCTCACCTGCCCCTCGGCACCCCACCTCACCCCCCCAACCCCTCCCCACCACCCGCCAGCATCTACATGACAATAGTCTTTTGCCACCGCTGACCTGACCTGCTCCTTAGGCACTGTCCTGACTTGCTCACTCCTTCCTCTGGCCTCCTCTGTGGGAAAGAGCCAGAAGCAAAGAAGCAAGCCCCCAGCCGCCCACCCACAGGACACCCCAACCCCCCTTGAACAGCCCCTGTGTGTGTCAGGCTGAGGCTGGCTCAAACGTAAGGCCCTTCCCGGGCTCCTTTCCTGAAGGGTTTGCCACCCGAAAGACAGCATGCTGGCCTTCTTTCCGACCAATCTTAAATTTCTCCCCGCCTCCCCCCTCCCTGCCTGGGGGAGAGTTGGGCCCCCTAGCTGGCGGTGCCCAGGGCTCACTCCTGGCTCTGTGCTCAGGGATCACTCCTGGAGGTTTCAGTGGGGAGAGCCTGTGCCCTGGTGGGGATGGAATGGGTGCAAGGCAAGCACCCTACCCACTGTACTGCCCTCTCTGCCCCCTTAAGTCTCTCTTAAAATATATTTCAGGACCAGGGATGGGACTCTGTGGCCAAAGCGAGCGCTGGCCTTGCCTGCCTGCACCTGACCTGGGCTTCCCCCTTGGCACCGCCCCCAACAACCAAATAAATAACATTAAGGATATTCCTTTCAGAGCCGCCCTTCTCCCTGTGGCAGCCTTAGCGGCAGTAGTAGCCCAGGGAGGAAAACACTACATGTGTCCTCACAGCCTTCTCCAGGCTATGAACAGAGATAGGGATGGACACAGGGCATTTTCGGGAACCACATCGCCACTGACCTGGAGACAGGCAGGAGCCCCACCTGGCCCCGGCTAGAAACAGGACAGAGGGAGGGACACACACACACACACACACACACACACACACACAAACACACACGTAAAAACATGCACACACGCATAAACACATGCACATGCATGAATGCATACACAGCACCTAGGCTCGAGGTGAAACTTTTGTTTATTTTGGGGGGGGCCATACCTGGCCATGCTCAGGGGTTAACTCATGTGCTTCCAGGGGTGGAAGCACAGGGGTTACTTCTGGCTCTGCACTCAGGAATTACTCCTGGCAGTGCTGGAGGACCATTCCTGTGCTCAGGAATTAGTCCTGGCAATACTCATTGGGGATCATCGGGATGCCAGGGATCGAACCCAGGTCGGCCACGTGCAAGGCAAGCACCCTACTTGCTATACTATCGTTCCAGCCCCTGAAACATATTTTCATACCTGATTCCCTGCCCCCCCCCGACTTTTGGGTACCTGACAACTCAGGGGCCACTCCTCAGTGCCTCTCGAACCCCATGCTCCTCTGAGAACCTCCCCCCCCAATCTTCACACATGAACTGAAGCTGCGACTCAGGAAGTGACCACCTCCTCCACCCCCCACCCCCCGGCCCCTGGTCCCTTTTGTGCCGCGCCCCCTGGATCAGTGGCAGAAATGGCAGGAGGGGGCAGTGACCCAGGAAGCCTTTGTCATCCCCTCTCATTTACAGCTCCAGGGACAGCGGAGGGGCCTTGTCTTAATGCCCGGGCAAGTGCTTAGATGGCCGAGGGAGGCCACTGGAGGCAGGCTTATTGGCCTGCACACAGCCAGGACCCATTTCCCGTTGAGTCAGGGGACCACAAGGGGCCCTCCCCTTGGTGTCCTTGACAACTGGCTTCTGATCTGCTGAGGTCTGGGGTTCCTGTTCCCAAAACTCACCTCCCCTTTCCCTCCCTCTCCCCCCCACCCCCCCACCCCCGCAATGTGCAGGAGCAACAAGCAGTAAGGACACCCAGGATATCCTCTTCGCCCGGCAGAAGATCGTGGTGGTGGCACGCGCCTTCGGGCTGCAGTCCATCGACCTGGTCTATATCGACTTCAGGGACACCGAGGGCCTGCGCCGCCAAGCCCGGGAGGGCGCGGCCATGGGCTTCACAGGTACACGGGGCGGTGGGTACAGCACCCTGGGAGCAGGGGTCAGAGCCCGCAGACGGCATCTCTCACCCCCTCCATACTGTCTCCATACACCAAAGAATCCGTCACACTGGTGTGTTTTACACACCCGCTCACACTCACGCTCACCCCCTCCCACACTTGGCCCCTTTGGCTCTGGGGGTCCACTCAGAGCTCACCCCCTCCGCTTCCTCTCTGGCGTGGGCCCCCTCCCTGTCCCCTCTCTTTCTTATTTTGTTTGTTTGTTTGTTTATTTATTTATTTAAATTTTAGTTTGATTCTTGTTTTGTTTTGTTTTGTTTTTTGAGTAAATTGTCATAAGAATTTAGGTTGGAAGAATAGGAAAAGAATTTTCTCAAGGATCTGAAATATTGATTCAGTTTTTAATGGGCACGTTCTTTTTTTTTTATTTTTGGTTCAAACCCAGCGATGCATAGGGGTTACTTCTGGCTCTGCACTCAGGAATTACTCCTGGCAGTGCTGGAGGACCATATGGGATGCTGGGAATCGAACCAGGGTCGGCTGCGTGCAAGGCAAACGCCCTACCCACTGTGCTATCGCTCCAGCCCCTGATTCAGTTTTTTAAAAAATTTGGTGATGCTGTTTTTGGAGGCTGGTTTGGGGAACACACCCATTGTGGTGCTCAAGGGTCCTCCTTGCAGTGCTTGGGAGAGCCTAGGCAGTGCCGGGGGTGGTACTGGGGTTGGCAGTGTGTAAGGCAAGCCCCCGACTTTCTGTCATATCTCTCCACCCCCAGATTTCTCTCTTTTTTTTACCCTAATCCATCAAAAAATGGAAAGAATCAAATAATTGTTCATTTTTGATCCTCCCGTGAATACTGCACTCCTTCTCTGCCACCTCCCATGAACTGCCTGGCACTCGTAGTGTGGGCACCCCCCCAACATCCCCTCACCCTCCTGACACCACATCCCCGGGCACAGGCCAAAGTCTGTTGATTGGTGCAGCCGATCATTCAGCAAACGGGCTTCCAGGGAGCAACTGAAATTTGTGAATTTCTTTTCTTTTCTTTTCTTTTCTTTTTTTTTCCACAGTAACCTGTTTTTTCCAACCATGATTACATCCTGTATAAAAACACATGTGCAACTGGACAAACACACACACACACACACACACACACACAAAGTCAATGCTGTAGAATCCCATCAACTCCTTTATTCATATTCCTTCTTCTTCCGCCTCTGCAGAGACCACTGCTCTTGGTAAAATATCCAAATGAAAAGGGAAAGAGACAGGCATTAGTACTCTCCCTTTGGGAAATATTTTTGAAATATGTCCCGTTGAGGGGTTACCGAAAGAAACACTTCACACAGTGACTTTAAATGTCACAGTTATTTTGATGGTGCAGGCTGTCACCAGAATGAAATCAAAAGACTTAAAGAAACAATTTCAGTGTTAGAATTCAGTAGAGCTCTATCTACCACTTGTGCGTGTGTGTGTATGTGCGTATATGTGCGTGCGTGTGTGTGTGTGCGTGTGTGTGGTGTGTGTGTGTGTTGGGCAGACTTAACATAGCACATGAGTCCCTCTCAGATTTTGTCTTGGCAAATAAATAGGATCTATGTCCATCAAGAAAATTTCTCAGTCATCTGAACTATCAGCAAACGATTCCTGCCCAGAGTGAATGGGGATGGAGAAAGAAGGGGTCCCTTTCCCATCTGGGGGCCCAGGCTGCCCGCCTCTTTCAACACTCAGGAAAGTGGCCCAGCAAAGAAGGCTGGAGGCGAACCCCATGAAATCTAGATAATAGATCCCAATGTTGTTGGACCGGAATGTCGGTGCTGACTGCCAGGCGGCCAGATGTTGCTCTGAAACACCTCCTAATTCAGACACAAACACGGAAGCGCCCTCCCCTCCCTCAATGCTGCCCGTCACCCAGGCACTCCTGCTTTGGGGGTGCAGCCGGGCAGGGGGGCACATTCTCTCCAGCACGCAGAAGGGAGTTGGAGACTTTGATCCGAGACACAGCCCAGAAATGGAATCGCAACCTTGGTTCAGTCGCAGAGAGGACCAGTTATTTCAAATCAGATTTAAATTTCTAGACGGTGCCCAGCTCAGCGTGAGGAGCTTATGGGCTTGGCACTATTGTTTCTCAACAACGGGGAGTAGTAAATCACCCAAAGAATGAAGCCAGGGAGGGGGCTGAGGGGGGCCGGGGGGTACAGTGCCCGTCACACGTTCAAGTGAACAAGCCAGTAAGCCCCTCAGAACCACACTGCGGCCTGCAAAAAGCAGGGCCTTTGTTGTCCCTTATTGTCCCAGTTACAGGCCAGCCGAGGGAAAGGGTTCCGATCGTCAGAAAAGACAGTATTCCGAGTCGTCTCCAAGATGTGGGAAGGGGCATTTACGCCACTCAGGATCGTGATCATTTGTCGTTTAGCTGCCGAGCCTTGGATTTTGAACAAGGGAAGGAGAGGGAGGGAGAGGAGGGGGGGAAGGAAAGAAGGAAGAAAGGAACGAGAAAATGAAAGGAAGGAAAAATCCCCCATCTCAAGTAAGCAGAAAGTGTAAACTCTCATCAAAGTACTCTTTATCTCCCATAAGGGAACCCTCAAGTCTGTACTATAGAAGTTTTCAGTATTTTTTAAAAATTAGATATTTTGGCAGGAGTTGTGACTCTTTCCACCCCCAGAGGTAGACACGCATCAGAGAGGAATGTTCTAATTTCTTCGCTGCATTTCCGCATTTCCGAGGGCCCCAATCCATGTGGATTGGTTTTAAATCAATGCCTTTGGTCTTAGAAAAGACGATTAACGCCAGGAATTATTTTTTATAAAACAAGAAACCTGCAGAGAAGTCGGGGAGCAAAACTCCCACTATAGACTTGGTCACCACCCGACCCAGGGTGTGGGCCGTGGGACATGGGGACAGACACCAGGGCCGTGAATAGGAAGCGCCGTGGGTTTTTCTGTTCTTCTACCGTCTTTTGTAGGAGACAAAAATGACACCATCATACAGTTACCTAAAAGACTTGACAAGTATTGACTTAAAACACAGTATATCAAGTGGTACTGTAAAAAGGATTTCATGGTCATAAATTTTAATGTCTTCCAATTTTGCACCCTTTCGGAAACTTGTCAATAGCAGCTCCTCCATAGAAAGATCTGCCTGCCTGCCGCATGCACTGCGGTCGGAAAGTCACTTGTTGGGACAGATAAACACAGCAAAATAGACTGTCATCATGCATGCCTCTCCACTGGTCCCTAAAAATGAACACGCAGCCTAACATCAGCCCTACTTCCCCAAATACGGAAGGAGGAGTTTCTCCAAATTTTAGTTGTTTCATATTCTCCACTCATTCAGTCTGTACCAGGGAGTTCCCCTGAAACCTGCTTTTTTTTTTTACACAGCAGTATAAATTATGTACATAAATTACAAAATTCAGGACTTACAATTAGTGCAAAATGACTACCAGAACTGACATGCTTTATTAATAATCGTACAACAGCTATTAGGTTATTTAGATGGGTCTGAGTACCTCCTATTTGTCATTTGTCATTTGTCATTACTGATATTGTTTTGTGCTGGAAATTATTGCTCAAAAAATGTAAACCATCTTTGTTGTAACAGGTTTAAAGTGTTTTATTATTGCACTGACAGGTAAGAGTAGAATAGCAGTGTAAGGATGTTTTAATCAGGTCACCCTAAAGAGAAGATATTGTTTGGTTAACCCACTTAAATTCCTTTTTCATGAAATACTTAAAAAAGAAAAGAAGAACTCTTCAATAGAATAAAAATAACAGGAAAACAAGAATTGATATTTTATACATCGGGGATTGAATTTGTACTAAGTGTTAAAACAACTATTTCAAAAGCAGAGAAAATTGATGTACCAACAAATATATTTAACTGAGTAAATTATCATTAAATGTGCATTCATTTTTGAAGAACCAAATAGGCCCATAATTTTATCATGTAATATTAAATATAATCTCATCATAATTATAACATTAAATTATGTTGCATTTTATTAATGACCTGATTAGATTCTTCCTTACTGACTGTTAAATTGGTTTTTTAATGAGTACATGATTCATAGAATCCTGTGACTCTTATCTTTGTACAGTGTTTTTATTGAAGAGCTGTAAGCTTCAAAAGGAGGCAAAAAGCTTTCTTATTTTTATAAAGCTTTTTAAAAGCAATTTCTAACAGATAAGGTTTCTTCTGGGATATCTAAATAGCTATATAGGAGGCAAGAGGCAATCGTGGTCCTAGGGGAGAAAAGGTAACATTTGATTATGTTTTTGGATAGAGAAACTTCCAGTGATTTGTTTAAACATTTCTAAATGACATAGCAGCTCCCGTGTTCATATCTGCTTTCTGTTTTACACTGTAAAAAGATTTTTTTAAAAAAAACCACTTCCGTGAGTGGTTAGAAATGACAGAATCCAGTTTTTTAAAACACAGAAGATTCATATATCATCGGGAGATACTCAGCGGTAGGAATAGGGTGATAACGTTAGTTTTTATAAGCTATACCAGAACCGTAAGACCACTTCTAAAAGATGTCACAGATGTCCGGAGGGCTCGGGATACAAAGTAACCAACACACAACTGATAACATTTGGAAGAATCACAATAGACTTTTTCCCCTGCTCTAACACCAAATAATTGCTCTCATTTGCAGACCTGAGTCTTTAAAGTTCCAGCCAAAGCAGTTATTCAAGGGGCTGCCTCAGCCCACCTGTAACCGAACGTGGGGGATTATGAGCCCCCAAGATGACATTTGTATAGGATCGGAAACACAATCACTCCATTATAGCCTCTGTTCTTCTGTGGCATTCTGGAAAAGCCTTCGGTCGCAGGTGTTTTTTTTTTTTCTCCTTCCCTTCCGTTCTCTGTTTCTTTCATCGCCCCCGCCCCTTTTTTTAAAAATCCTAAAATAATTAGTGATTTTACATACAGCCTGTGGCAGTCAGGGAGGGGGCCCGTGTGGTCGAGAGGTTGTGTTTGAACATCTGTCTGTTGTGTTTCCGGTGTCTCCGCTCGTGCAGGTAAGCAGGTGATACACCCCAGCCAGATCCCCGTGGTGCAGGAGCAGTTCACGCCATCCCCAGAGAAAATTAAATGGGCCCAAGACCTGATCGCCGCCTTTGAGGAGCACCAGCGCCTGGGGAAGGTAAAGGTCCCGTGGCTTGTGGGTGAGCCCCAGAGCCGGGGCAACCTGGGGGCGAATGAAAACAAACAAGCAAGAGTGGCTTGAGCCACTTGGAAGCAAACCTGAAGTCTGCTGGGGGGCAGGACGGCATTCATCAGTGAAAGTTTGCGAAGGTAAATTTGCCCTCCAGGGCCCTAAATATGGCAGCAAGTGCCACCTGGGGCTTTCCACGACCATGTTCATAAACCGTAATGGCAGCCTTGGAGAAAACACAAGTCGTTTGTTTAGTCTGTTTTCCCCCACACACATACACACTCCGTTGCAACACTCACAGACAAATGAATTTCCCTGGAAGTGAAAGCAAGTTGTCATGAAATAGATGCAGTTTGATCGAATGGTTGTCGTGGAGAGGAGGGGGCACCGTCTCCTCCACTTTGGCTGTTCCGGGTTTGGAGGTGGGGTGTGTGTGTGTGTGTGTGTCTGTGTGTGTGTGTGTGTGTGTGTGTGTGTGCGTGCGTGCGCGTGTGTGCGCGCGCCGATTTCTGGAACCTGAGATTTGGAGAGAATGGAAATCAAATTAATGCCGGCGCACGGTTGTTCCTAATTTACTGCATCATTGAGCCCCGAGTTTCCTGCGCCGTGGGTCTCTGCTATGTAAATATTGCGGCGGGCGCCGTGCAATCTGGGGCCACCTTGTGCCAGTAACACTTAAATGAGGTGTCGCCTGGAGGAAGATTTTTATGCTCGTTGCAACATTGTCAGTTAATTATCTTAAAGGTTATTTGCAGCGAGGATGCCGTTTGCCACTTTGTCAGAGCAAGGGGAGAAAAGACGCATGTGGAAAATCTGTTCGGGAGGTAATATCCAAATTCAGCCCCCGGGACTGAATTCCTAAGGAGGGAACTTTTGGTACCTTCGATGCAAAGTCAAATTAGGAGAGAAAAAAAAAAACGTCCAGACACCAGTAAGGAGGCTTGAGAGATAATATAGGAGAGATAAGGTGCTTGTTGACCCCCTTCAGTCCCCATCATTCTGTATGGTTCCCTGAGCACTGCCAGGAGTGATCCCTGAGCACAGAGCGAGGAATACACCCTGAGTACCACCAGGTGTGGCCCCCCCTAACAAAACAACAACAACAACAAACACTAGTAAGGTTCTCCGTGATCCGTGCTACGCCTGACAAACAGACATCGATGTGAGAAGAGTCACTTACACACCTGTACTTTTCACTCGCACCTAAAGCATCTGAAAATGCCAGAACCCAGGCCGGCTAGGGGCGGCCACTAGGAGATCCTCTCCTGCAGGACACCCGCTTTAATGCCAGCGTGCTACGTGGGCCCAGCACCCCTTGCCCCCACCACTCCTCATCCTTATGCCCACTTGCCCTCAAAATCAAAAGGCAGACTCTGGGTCGGCAGAGAGACCAGACCATGCCAGTCCTGGATGCATCTCCCGTCTCAGAGCCACTGAGGGTGGAGGTCAGGGGGAACCCGATACATGGCACATCTCATGGAAAGTCATTCTTAAGAGGACTCTGGGTTTTCCATCTCCATTTTTGTTTCTCGACATGCCCGTCGCCACCCTCAGCCCCAGTCCGGATCATCCGTGAATAAACGCAGCCGTTTTCCTAGGGAAGAGGATTTGGTCTCATTCACGCATGCAGACAAGTCCCCCCTTGGCTGCCCCCTAGCCCACATCCCACAGACACAATCCAGGCCATGCCCAGGGCTGGCCACACAGCTGTGGCCTGGCCCAGGTGCCCCCACCCCCCTGGTTAACAGCAGTTTCTCAGCAGATGCCATGTCCACGGTGCCACTTGTCCCAGTGAGCTCCTCAGGCGATGAGGGAGACCCCCCCTCCAGCCCACGTACTTGCAGACCCCCCGCTCCACCACCACCACCAGCACACTGCCAGTCGCAGCTTCTCGGAGGAGGGAAGGATCTGGCTAGCTCATTTCCATTCTGATCTGGTGTGGTAGTGTGGATTTTTTTTTTGCATTTTTTTTGGGGGGCGGTACACCCGGCAATGCACAGGGTTTGCTCCTGGCTCTGCACTCAGGAGTTACTCCTGGAGGTGCTCAGGGGACCATATGGAATGCTGGGAATCAAACCCGGGTTGGCCGCATGCAAGGCAGACGCCCTACCCGCTGTGCTATCTCTCCAGCCCCTAGTGCAGATTTTTTTCCCCTCTTTTTCCTTTTTGGTCACACCCAGCCGTGCTCAGGGCTCACTTCTGGTGCTGCTCTCTGGGATCACTACCGGGGACCAAACCCGGTTAGGCAAGTGCCCTTCCCACTGTGCTAAGGCTCTGCCCCCCACCCCCCAGCCAGACACACCCCAGGAGAGCCCACCCTGCAGAACTGGAGAGACACAGCTGCCAGGGAGCATACCCCGGGTTCCTGCCCTGCTCCCCTCTCCCAGGCCCACCAGATTTCTCCCAGTGGGTGCTCTGCCTGATGGGGTTGAAGCCCCCTCTGGGGGCTGCCAGAGGGGATATGGGGATTGTCTGGAAGTTGGCTGCTCATTGGTCACAAAAATGGAATTCGTGAGTGGGTGGCTGATTCTTGATAGGCCATGGGGGTGGGTAATATACGGCCTGTTTGTAAAGATTTAGGATATATTTAGATGGCTTAATTGTCTAAAGTTGGACTTTTTTTTTGGGGGGGGGAAGTCCTTCATCATTCCTTCCAGTGAGCATCACTAATGAAAACGGCCGGAACGCCTTGTTCAAGGCACCGATGACTCTCCAGGCTGGGATGCTGAAGTGGGCACCCTCAGCGTGGCAATGGGCCTTTCTCCTCCTCCGTGGCAAATAGCCTTCAAGAATTGCTTTTTTGGTCTAAATGTCCCACAAAGGCTAATAATTCATGCATCTTTGCATCTCTCTGATTCTCTCAGCTCCCAACTTAAACCATATTCTGCCCCTAGACCAAAGGTATAACTTTTGTTTCCTAGTTAAATGGATAAAGTCATATCACTATTATGATTCTGGAGAAAAGTTAAAATTCTGCCTTTGCTTCTTGCCCCCTCCAAAAAAGGAAATTTGCAGGGACTATGTAGATCACAGGTAGATGAACCCGTGAGGGTATGTTCACTTTTTTGGTATTACAGGATTAAAAAAAAAAATCTTGTCTTAACTAGAAGTTCCAAGAAAATATAGTTTGATTCCCTCTAGTTAAAAATCAGCTGACTATTCAACATTGAGAAGTAAATAATCTGTCATTGTTTGGAAGTTATGCTCCGTGTGATTGCTTTTTTTCAGAAAACTCAACCTGTTTTCAGTTTAAAGAATTGTACCTGCTACAGCAGCACCTGCTAAGAAGAATTAGGTCTGGACAGAGGCTCTACCTGCTTTTTATTAAAATCTGTAGGAAAAAGCGTCAGTGTTCATCATGTCCTGTGTTCCTGTTGTCACTCCAATAACCTGTTTCTAGATTAAGTGACATGAGTGCACAGTATACCGGTATCTGTAAAATTAATCACACAGGATTCTTTTTCTTTTCCTTCCTGGAAAATCTGTATTTTGAGGTGGATGTCATTAATTAATTTAGCTTTGAATTATAGTATTTTAACAAGGATAAGTCGCTTCTGTGTGATTTGTTTTTAATTTATAAAGGAGTGTCTTCAAAGCTAATTTGTTTTTAATTTATAAAGGAGTTTCTTCAAAGCTAATTTCATTTTTCATAATAATACTAATTCCAGTAATTTTGAAAATGATCCAGAACTGAATTTAGTGCTGCTTTTTTTAAAAATATGATTTTAATATTTTTTTCTAACAAATAAGAATGGCACACAGTACAGAAACTAAAATAAAAACAAGCAAATAATAACTTAATCTGAGTTGATACTAACAGCATCTATAATTTGAATATAAATAAATGTGATGTTTTTATAAACATTTCATAGATAACGTATGTTTTTCACATTTCTATTATCATCAACTCAGTGCTACAATTTTTTCCTCTTTCCACTGCTTCTTAGATAAAAAGGACAGCTAAAGAAAGTAGTTGCTTTTTGGAAAAAAAGAAATCACTAATCCCGGGAAATCTTATGTCAAATTTACGATTTCTTTTCAAATGCAGACTTCTTAGCAGAAAAATGTGATTACCAGCTACACTCTGTGTGCTCGATTTATTTTTTGATTTATTTTTAAAGGTGACTTTTTTCTGCGTCCCCTTCTCTGGGCCTGGCTTTAGCGTTTTGAACCTTCTGTTTTCTTCCTACCCTTGCTGTGCTTTCTTTAATTCTGGAAGGCTCTCCCTTCACTTTGCGGCTCTTTTTCACTCGTGATAATCTCCCGCACTGGCCAAAAACCAGGGCGGGGATAAGCCCCCAGCTCGGGGAGATGTTCTCTGAGGCAGCAAGCACGAGGGTCGGCTGTAGGGGCCCTCCCAGACCCGACTCCATACTGCACTCAGCCCCCGTAGCCGCCTCTGCTTGCTCAGAAGACGGCACCAACCCAAAGGAACCAATTCACTTTAGTCAATAGATCTCCTGCGATTAAATGTAGGTATTTAGGGCTTCATAAAGAAACAAAGAGATTTCTTCCCCTTCTTGTTTGCAAAGTACTCTCCACCCCCCATCCCCCCACCCCCCCCCCAAAAAAAAATTACCAAAAGCAAATCCTGCCCCTGAGTCTCAGATTCTGTTCACACACCTTTTCACGGGTGTTTCCAAATGCAGGCCTGCACAAAAGAGACACTGTTGGGTCCAGATGGTCCTCTAGAAGGTTCCCTGAGAGAACTCTGAAGTCTCTCTGGCCAAAAATATTGTTTCCGCTTATTCAAGAGCCAGAAATCCCACCGACATCCTTTCACGCAGCTCAAATCACCCATCTAAAGATTTTCTTGTTGTCTTTGTCAGCTGAAAGAGTTGATTTCACTAATAGCCCACAATATAACCTCCCACACTCCTGCACCCCACCACTCGCAGGCTCCCCCCCCGGCCCCCCCCCCCCCCCGGGACTTGGGAGCTGGAATACCAAAATCTGAACTGAGGGATTTCGGGGGGGGGGGTGGCATC